CTTCGTGTAGACCTACGTCAGAGTCAATTAAAGCAGCAGTCAAGTTACACTTCTGTACATTCGTCGGTATGCTTGCTGCTTCAGTTGCTTTAATATTTGAACTGTGCAAAATGTTTGAGACCTTTAACCGAATTTCGGAAGGAAGATGTTTCCGATTTCTCCGCCATCGATCCAAAACATCCTTTGCTTGTTGCTCTGATTGAACCACAAGTTTTAGGATTCTAGGGCCGCATCCTCTATAATTCGATGAGAGAGGTATCCTGGTGAGCGATAGTGCCACCACATTATCCAAAGAAAGTGTTTCGCGAATGAACCGCCACTGTTCTAAATCGTGCTTTCCGGTCACTTGAACATCGTTAGAAGGATGTTCTGGCACGCCATGTATGAAGATTGTGTTTAGGCGGTCTTGCTGGCTGTGCCCCTCTTCGGTGTTTCGTTTTGGTTGTCGCGCGCTCCAAGCGACATCAGGATAGATACGTATCCCACAGGATTCGTGTTTTAGCGCGCTTGCGGAGAGTAAAACGTTTTCTACGTCGGTGGAGGATTCTAGAGTTACTCGAATAAGTCTGGGTTCATCGTAGTGTGGTGAGTTCGGATGACGAGTAATTCATAACAAGTTTATGGGCTTGGCTTTGATACTCATCTGCATACACAATGAGTTCCATTGGTCTTGGTCGACTGATGACTTATCCCGCAATGTGATGGCGGTAGATTCAGGGACATTTGAGCATACAACAGTCCGGGCACTGTTGTTGGATCCCTTTTTAATCGATCTACAAGGTATGGTACTCATTTGTCTTGTCAAAACGCTTGGAGCGTTGGGCTGAACACTTTGCTATGCAATTTAACCAACCTGAGTTATCGCTTTCTTCGGGCATTGAGCGCCCTTCTCCTTGGGCCGTCTCCTTGGATCCGCCCTCACGCGCAGAAGTCGAACGTGAGATCAGGCTGCGACGTGCATCGTTTGCACGTTGTGGGTGCGGTTGGAAGAGGAGGAGGGGAGACCAAGTGATGACTTGGTCGAGAGAAATGAAAACCCTCACTTCGAAGTTGGCGTCGGTTGGTGCATCCCGACTGCCTGGCTGGGGTCCAAAGGACGGTGAACACGTTTGGTTGGACACACTTGCTGATATGGCTAGGAGCCGGCCCGAATGGCGTTTGTGTTGTGAGTTCCTTTGTCCATCCCCCCTCCTGTTTAGCATCCCCCTCCATTCACGATCTCAATCGTTAGGCATAATATAACTCTTTTACGGCAGCCAGCTGTAAGCTCTCCGGAACGATGTCCATCCGTTACTGGGGACTCAGCGCGCGTGCCACTGTTTGTTTTCCTTTTCTTGCCTTTTGTATTGCGGCACAATAGCTGAGGTGTTTTCCACCTCCAGCTAACTGTAATGATGATGATGATGTTGACAAGTGATTGTTTGCTCTTTTTCTCTCTATTTGCGTTAACGGTATTTACAATGGAAGAGGACGCAACGGCGGCCTCTCGGTGGACCCTTGCAGCAATTTCTGCATATGTAACCGATGTTCTGGGAGACTTAGTCTCGACAAGAGATATTTGAGCTACAGGTACCAAGGGTTGCTGTTTGGCTGCTTCATCCTTGTTAAGACTAGATGTCAGGTCTAGTGGAATTTGCTTAACCAGACGTTTTGAATGGTGCATGATTTTCGTTGCTGTGAGTACTGTTTGATTCACGTAGGTACAGTCTGTTTTCGCCCGGCGTTCTACCAAAGTTGGATAAGACAATTGAGATGGGGACGTGGCTGATTGCGGTGCAGGGGAAGCGGATTGTTCAGCATTCCGTTGCTTAGCAGCCGCTACGCTTCTGTGCTCCATACTCACTTCCATTGAAGTAAGCTTATTGTTTATCCTCTGCTCTGCTTCTGTGATTAACCGGTCGCATTTCTCAACTAGGATAACCAAGCACTTAACGAGGGGGATGGTGGAACTCGCAGTACAGATCCAAAATGCATCTTGGAATGTATTTCGCTCCCGTAACTGTTGTTGGGACACATTTGCACATTTCGTATGATACCAAACCAAACAATGCGAACAAGCCAGACCGATTTTGACTACCCGATGACATTCTCCTAACCCGCAAATGCCTTTCGATGGGAGTCTCTTCGGTTTTGCCTTTCTGCCATTCAATTTGGTGTCGTTACCTGACCCAGTGGATTGGTTAGCGTTCTGTACTTTTACAGCTTTGAGAGCGGCGCACATCGGTCAGGCGAGCGTGGTTGTTGCAAGGTCAAATTAGCC